GCATTTGATTGTAATGAATCCTCCAAGTATATTTCACATTGTTTATGCACCAACATCAGGTAAATGCTGATTAAATTCCCAGTTGTATTGCCTCTTTGCACGTTCGACAAGGCCATGACATATCCCGCAGTTTTGTTGCCCTTTCTTGAGGCCGGCTTTGTCGTGCCTCTACAAATGAATCAAGAATTAATTTGTAACTAGGTAGGGAAATCGACATTATTCCTTGGCGTGTGCTCTCTGTGATATTTTATACTAAGAGGCAGTATTATTTCAACATTAGTCCGCTTCTCTGAGCATGCATGGATGCAGCGTCTTCAGATAGATGATAAATTTCAGTTTTTTATTGTATTCCCCAAGTCAGTGGTTCCCTGAACAGATCCGCCTACACATCTTCCGGTGCACTTCTGCATATAAATAATATAAGTCAGGGGAGGCAACCATAGCACATCTGACTAGTTTTTCAAATAACTGATTCGCGTCTCAGTCATGCGGTGAAGTCACTGAATAACTTTTCTCCACAGCAGAAAACTTCTACCCATATTTACTTTTCCAAAATGCTATCCGTTTGAGGCCATATAACTCATTGTATGTGGTAACGGTGACAGCCTACGGAACCTGGATCAGTAGCTAAAGCCCAACGCCATTTGTTTTTTGTTTTACATCAACCTGGCCAAATAGGATCTGCGGGAAAAGTTAAGCCCACTGACGGGTCAAAGCTTACTTGTCAGTAAGAAGTAGCACCCTTCAGACTGCGTACGATCTTTCTCTGAATTTATTTACACCACTTGAAATAAAAATTGCTATTAATTTTCCCTCTGGTCCCTCAGGTGCAGCTGTGGTTGAAATGGAGAAGGCGGTACTCTTGCTTCTGTTAGCCGCCATCAAGTGTGAGCACAGGGAGTATTTTATTCGTCAGATCATGGAAGAATTGAATGCTGACGTTCAGAGGGGCATAATGCAGAGTATAACCTACGTAAGTGGACTTAAGATACAGAACGTGACAACTTGTTTTACATAACGTCAGAAATTTAATCTATGATATTTTTATTTGATTGACCGTGAAGGTTGTTATACATGAATTCGTGGAAAATTAAACTGGAACGCCCATGTATTTCAATTGCATACATAATCACCCGCATTTAACCTTTTAATTGCCTCTTATGTCTTAGAAAAGCACGCTTCCAACACAACAGGTCACGTACAGACTTTCAACGACATTTTGTTTCTTTGTTGTTTGATAACACATTTGCTGGCCTCTACTATATTGTGTGCATCTGCTCCATTTAAATATGATTATTTACTCTGGGCACCAGTTCACGGATGGTCACGACGGCGTGCAAAGTCTTGCCGGTATCCATGATCTGAACCCAGAACTTGAATTAACCGTGACCCGGGCCATCTCCAACAGGGAAGAACTGTATTTTCGTGTAAGTTTCACATGGTTGTTTGAACATTCAAAATAACTTTAGATTAAATAAGTTTCCTAAAAGTCATTTTCGTAATTTATTACCGTTTTATTCCTGAAGATAAGGAAAACTTGTATGATAAGAAGGCTTTCTCCTAGAAGTATCATTTCGGTCCTTGATCTAAGAAACAAAAACTCATAAGTACGTTCCGTACTTCTTTTTTTCTGAAAATATAAGCAACTTATTTGCCTTTCAGTGTGAAAGTACGGGACGTTTATGACATTTTGCTTTATTAAAACGGCTCAATTGCTTTTCAAGGCCACTGTCCAATTTTTGTCCTTTCTTGTCCAGTCAGCCGCATTAACGGAAAAAGTGGAAACGGAAACACAAAATACACTTCACTTGCTACCCGTGGGCAGTTTTGTATACTGGCTACTTCTGATTCAGGGAATGAAGAATTTCCCTTCAAGGCATTTCCGTTAACATATGTAGAGGTTTGCGGTCTGGTTAAGCAGTAGGTTGTTCCCAGAGAAATATTTTTATCCACTCCAGCTCTTTATCAGGACCTCATCAAAATAACATCTTGCATTTCTATGATAGCATTGATGCGTCTTCAGTTTGCTGATAATAAAAATTCCCATCACCAAATATATTTTACTAGCATGATAGACTGTGACAATAAATTTAATAAATGCGGACCGGTCGCGTTCGCATCGAGAAAAAACGTTCACTTTCTATGCCACAAATAGGATGCCATGCAGACTTAGTGGACTCTGTTAACATCTTTTCCACGCTTTTTCCTGTTTTCTGGGGCTTCTTGATGTCAGTGTTCCTTCGAAGAACTTCTTTTTGACACTCTGGATTGTTTTACCGGTTTCAAACTCAACAAAAACTTGAGCGATTGCAAATTGCATAGGCGAAACTGTTTGAAAATTCATCCTAAAACACCTTTGTAATGAACCTACATTTTCAAACTTCTAGCAGTATTGTAGAATGTACGCCCGTAATTTATCTCATATTCTGGCTGAAATTATATTTTCCAAAGGG